AGATCATCATATCCTCTGGAAAATTGGGAAAGGTAATGTTACTTTCTGGTATGACAATTGGAGTTCTTTTGGATCTCCTATTGACTTCCTGCCTGATGGAGCAAAACCTGGTTATCACAAAGTCAAAGACATGTTTGTGGATGGACAATGTGAATTGATGGGTTGGGATAGACTTCTACCTGAAGAAATTTCCTACAATATTTGCAATATGAAGATGGAATTCAAGCCGAATGAATTGGACAAGCCTATATGGACTGCTGATAGTAAAGGTGTCTTCAAAGTATCTTCTGCTTGGAAGTTACTAAGAAGTACTCACCAAAGTTCTTGGATTGATACTATGACCTGGAATAAAGTCATTCCCTTTAAAATGTCTTTGATTGTTTGGAGAGCTTTAAGGGATAAAATTCCTACCGATCTAAGGATTAGTAGAATGGGGATAGCTATTCCTTCAAAATGTGTGTGTTGCAAATCTGCTGATATGGAAGGAGTAGAACATCTATTTTACAGAGGGGAGATGGCAAGTGATCTGTGGAGACTTATATGCGGTCCATTAGGGCTTGGTAGCGCCAATTCCTCCTATAGACAAATCTTGATCAACATATGGAAGTGTAAAGGATTTAATCCCATAAAATCTCTTATCTATAAATGTCTCCCTATTTTTGTGTCTTGGGAAATATGGAGATCAAGGTGTGCTATCAAGTATGGAACAGAAAAAGTGTCTTTGAAAAGATCTATATCCTTGATAGCTTTTAATATGAGCCAGACGCTTGTGTCCGAGTATAAACAACTTAACATGGGGCATGAATGGAAGGACATTATAAACATTCTAGAGTGCAAGTTTGTTGTGAAAAAGAGCATATGGGTTAAGTGGAACAGACCTGAGGTTCCATGTGTCAAGATAAATTCTGATGGAAGTTGTTTGGAGGGGCAGTGCGGTGGAGGCGGAGTCATAAGGGACAATGATGGTAAGTTTATGTTTGGGTACTCTCTCAAATTGGGAAAGGGGACTAGCACCTGGGCAGAAGCTGTGGCGCTTGGGTTTGGAATAAAATGGTGTTTAGAGAATGGTTTCCTCTCCTTTACTGCAGAAAGTGACTCCAAAGTTCTCGTGGATAGTGTCAACAATTGTCACTCAACTCCTTGGAGAATTATGGATGAGGTTAATGAAATTATTAGACATAAGGAGTTTGCAGGTTTTAATATGGTGCACTGTTTTAGGGAAGCAAACAAGGTTGCAGACAAACTCGCTAATCTGAGTCATGGCTTCTCACAAAATCAAATGTTTCAGTCTTATGAAGAACTGCCATTGAAATTGAAAGGACTTTTGAGATTGGACAGACTGGGGCTTCCCAATCTTCGTACAACCAACAAAAAGAAAGCAGAAATCACTCATGACCCCCTTAGTTGTGCAGATTAGTCTAGGCCTTTTTGCCCTTTTTGGAGGATCGGTTTTCCTCATTATTGCATTTACATCATCTTTCAAGATGTCCTAAAAAAAAAAAACAAAAAAAAAAACATATAATTAACTTGTGTTCCAAATATTTCTTTAGTCCAACCAAAATACAATTATCTAAGGTGTTTCTTAAGAAAATAACACAAAATATGAGATGAGTACTGATGACACTAAAATATTCAATAAAAAATAATAATGAAATCATCATATAAAATAAATATTGCAAAGTCATAATGAAAATGATCATAATTTAAAAGTACAAAATCATGCTAAAATAAGTTTAATAAGTATTAGTTACATTACTAAATATTTAAGGAAAATTAAAATTAGATTATGTATTTTAATTGTCTAAACCAATGTAAAACTAAAGAACAAATATTCAATATTATTGTCATTCTTAGTGTTGAATTGATTTTCTTTTTGCATAAGTATTAATTTTATTTTGATTTAAGTTTTATTATAATTATCAACATCTATAAACTATAATATTTATTGGACCATTCCGAATTCTAAGTTTTAAACTTGAAATAATATATTAAAAGATAAAAACTATGAAATAGTATAAGAAATATTTTAAAATTATATCAAAGTAAATGTTTTTATGTATATTTTTTTAAAAAAAATTACATATATAATGTCGGGTTGGTTTGGTCTCGGGCTATTTTTTTTTTTAGTTAAAACCAAATCAATCAAAATATAGTCAGGTTTTTTTTTCCAATGCCAAACCGTCAAACCAAACCACTAGTCGGGTTTTTTTTTTCCGGTTTGATTCGATTTGTGGTTTGGTTCGGTTTTCGGTTCGATTTTGTACACCCCTAGTTTTACCCGTAACCTACTTTCTTGTAGATTTATCATTCAAATTATGGATGTGTGACATTGTATAACGACAGAGAATGATACAATCTATCCAAATATTGTATTCATTAAAACAATACAATACGACACAATACAATACAATACAATACGATACATAACAACCATCCAAACAAAGTGTAAAGTTCTCACACCACATGTACAATTGGACTAACAAACAACTTACACAATAGAGACACAAACATACTCAAAATAGTCGTGGCAACTAATCAAATAAATTATTTTGAACCTCATGCAAATCTTCCTTCTCAACCAATCCATCTTGATAACTAATCACACCCGAATGTTTTTCAGCGTTAATCACCAATCAAGCTCCTACAAAAAGTTCGAAGGGAGAAAATAACATCAATTTTAGGCAAAACTATATATAAACAATTTTTTTCAAGTCTTTTAATTCATATTGTTAAATATGTTAGCCGCATCAAAGTTCTTACCTCTTTTTTTCCAGAATATCATACATGTATTTCACAAGAATTACAACAAGAACCACCAACACATCTGACCAATACAGTCAACAAATTGAAAAATCAAAGAAGTTCAAGAAGCCCTAATTTTAATCAAGAAAAATAACTGTAGACTAAAGTTGACCCGTAATGCACTTCAAAATTATACTCACATATCCAAAGCTTATTTACTGAATTAAAACAATAGAGCACAAATGAAAAATAATTTCACAAGTAGGCGTAGATTCTACACCATCGGTCAAAGAATTAACATTATTCTATAGACTATAAGCAATATATGTATTTGAAAAAGAATCAACTCTTTTTAATTGGAAAACTCTATCAGGAGCTCATTTTTGGGATTTGTTTAATTCTTCAAGTTTTTCTCTTTTTCTCTCTTTTTGTAAAACTGGAATCATATTTTCTAGTTGACATATTTAAATTGAATAAATTTTAATAATAACTAAACAAGAATATATATACTTATGAACTAAGAATATCAACAATAACAAATTTTCAAGAAAACTATAAAATAAAATTAGAATAATATAACATGGCTCAAGAATTTGATGATAAGTTGATATAACGATATCGAAATAGTATTGCGTTCCTTCAATATAATGATTGCTCTTTGACTTGTTGCACTTCTTGAAATTTCGAAGAAGACACCAAAAAATAAATTTTGTTCTTTTGTAACTTGTAAGCAATAGTAACACCAAAATTTTTTGTAGGAGAGTGTTCAATATTGAGAATAAAAATAATAAAATAGAGAATACAAATGATGAATATAAGGTAAATAATAATATATGCTCAAATTATTAGGAGATTAATACAACATCAATAACAACATACAAATGGAATTCCACAAGTGAGGTATGATGAGGAGGATAAAATGTACACATATTTTACCACTATTTTGTAAAGGTAAAAAGACTATTTTCAAAAGATCCTAGACTCAGTTACAACAATGTCAGATACCAAGAATAAAATATAGCTAGTCACCAGAAAAGAAAATATAAATAAGGAAATACAATTTGCCACCTAAGGAAACTATTTTAAAAAATCATATGAAAGAATTACTAGGTCAGTGGATGAGTAGAGAATTCTTTATAGCTTGATGCGTGTCAAAGATAATTTCTTTAAGTATATTTCACCCGTTGTCCTTAGAATTTAATAAGCTCTTTTAATAATAAACAACTACCACATAAACTAACAAAGATCAAAATAATAAAAAGAAGAAAATCTAGCTCAATAGAATAAAGGAGGAATTTTTCTTGGTGCAACTCTCTTCGATAATATATATAGGGAAAATGGCATGATATACCCCCAACTTTGCGATTTATAGTTGATATACCCCTCGTTACAGAAATGACTCATATATACCTCTGTTGTTACACAAATAGCCCAAATATATTCTTTTGGTCTAACTAGAGTGAAAAATTAATTTTAAATTTAAAAATAAAATTTATCATAGATACCACAAATTTTTATTTGTTAATTACAGCACATTGTATATTCAATTAAACATATAGAGGTTCAAGTTTGATGGTTCTTATTTTATGATTTTTTATGTTATGAAGTAGTGTTTGGTTAAATACGTCAAATTAAACGGAGGCTTCAAGATAATGTTTGATGGTCACGTGTTTGATCTCCCTAAAAAAGGAATCAAATGAGATGATCACACACTTCAAACAACTTTGATTTGTAAATTTTGTTTCAAAAAATAAATAAATTCATATTCAAATTTGCAGTCAAAATTAAACTGTGTGACTCTCGAAATTTGAACTGTGCCACATAAATTAGGACAAAAGTAATTGTAAGGAGAACAACACAAAATGAGATGCCGCAATTATTTTTAAAGAAAAGGATCACTACGTACAAAATCATAGCAAAAGAACAATGGATAGAATTAGATATAGAATTGAGTCAAAATCTTTTTGATATGAAGAATAAGATAATACAAATATTGATGGAAAAAAAAGAATCAGATAACTTTAGATACGAAACAATTAATTTATTACTTTTAGGGGAAAAAAAGAACTCTAGAAGAACCATTCAAACTAATTTTACAAAGTTATCAAGAAAAAAAACAATTTCTTGACAATGATCTCATTGTCTCATTTCCAGCCTGCATTTCTTGTTTTCTACAACAACAAAAAGATATATGTAACGAAAATCTTCGAATCGAGTACATCAACAAAATTAGTTCCTACTCATTTCGCAAACTTGAAATGAATTTTTTTTTATTCTCCCTCGCTAATATTGTTGCTTTAATAATCATTGCTTCATCTGCTCCTGTTTCTGCTCATTTTTACAATAACGTTTCGACAATTCCTCGTTCTTTAATTCCTAGTAATTCTACCTGGAACCATTTCAACAACTACTTGGGTTGCCGCGTTGGCCAAAAAATCAAAGGGTTAGCTAAAATCAAACAGTATTTTCAACATTTTGGGTATATTGATAATTCATTGAGCAATGACTTCACAGATGAATTTGATCAACTTCTTTTTTCAGCTCTCAAAACTTATCAATTAAACTTTAATCTTAACATCACCGGAGAATTCGACATACTCACTCTTCAACATATGGTAAAACCAAGATGCGGAAATCCAGATATAGTAAATGGCACTACTCATATGAACTCCGGCAAGTCTCCAACGGATCATACGGTGGCCCATTTCTCGTTTTTCGAAGGCCAGCCACGTTGGCCTTCGAGTAAGAGTAAATTAAAGTATGCATTTCTACCGGAGAATCAGTTGACGGATTCTGTTAAGGCGGTTTTTAGGAGGGCGTTTGATAAATGGTCAAAAGTAACTCCGTTAACTTTTAAAGAGACGGATTCTTATAGATTGGCAGATATTCGGATTGGGTTTTTTGTCAGAGACCATGGAGATGATAACCCGTTTGATGGGCCCATGAAGATTTTGGCTCACGCGTTTGCACCGCCTACGGGGTTTTTCCACTTAGACGGCGAGGAGAATTGGGTGGTTGACAGCGAGTATTTGAAAGAAGGGACGGTGGATCTTGAATCGGTTGCAGTTCATGAAATCGGACATTTATTGGGTTTGGATCATTCGTCCGAAAAAGAAGCAATTATGTTTCCGACACTTGAAGATGGAACCAAGAAAGTGGAGTTGACAAGAGATGATATTGAAGGGGTACAAATGTTATATGGGTCAAACCCGAATTATAATGGGTCAAGTACTGTTTACCCCCACCGTCAAGAGAATGATATAAGTGGATATTCCACTTTTGGTTCATTGTGCCCACATTGGATTATTGGATTTTTCTTAGGATTGGTGCTTTCAATTTTGCTATAGTTAGTGTGTATTATTATCTTAATTTGAATAAAATTCCGCGAGCTTAGGCTGATCGAACCATAAGAGCGGCTCCCCTCTAGTATATGTTTGGTCCAGTTTGTCCAGTGCTTTCTTAATCTAATTACACATGTTAATTTTTATAACTAAGGGTCATTATCTGTTTATTCAAAATAACTCGCTCCTAAACCATGGTTAAACTAATTAAGAGATCTGAATCAAATCAATACGGCAAGATAGTGTGGGAATTTATTTTCGGTTGGAAAAATATTGCTGGGAATTTCCTTTAGGCTAAAAAAGGGACAATGAATTGTTGGTGAAACAATGTCGAAAAAGATAATTGTTGGGACGAGTTGCTACAACAATTTATAAAACAATGTCGTACTCTCTCCATCCCAAATACTTGTCATATTTCATTTTTTTAAAAGTCAATTTGATTAATTTTTGGAGAATTAAATATTTTAAAATTAGAATTTATATATTTTTCACTATACAAAAAGTACTATAAGTTGTATTTTTTACATCTCAATATGATAAAAAAAAAATTACATCTTAAAACACTAGTTAAAGTTCATATTGTTTGACACTCGAAAAACAAAAAACTAACCAATACTGACAAGTATTTTAAGACGAAAAAAGTATTTAACTTGAATGAACTTGAAATTTGGGATGAGAGTTTACCAATTTTTGAAGATTTGACTTGAACAATAAATTTAATTAAAGAAACAAGACATGAAAATAATAATAAGAATTTAAAAAGATAATTGGTTACATAAGAAAAGGAAAAAAGCAAACTGATCCAACAAATTTTTTACCTACATATATGCTGCAAATAAGGAAAATAAAATACAAAACTAAAATGGTATTGACCGTATATTCTTAATTAGTTTAACCACGATTAAGATATTTTGATCTTACAAATTTTGACCCTTAAAAATAAAAGTTAACACGTGTAATTAGATTAAGAGTGCACTGGACAAACATGACAAAATGTATACGGGAGGGGAGCCGCTTCCATAATTTTTTTACTATAGGTAAGAAGAGAAGCGTTTGGTCTTTGAATATGTCAACAATGTCAGACTTGAAATTTGATCTACACATGTTATTATTCATACCCTTCTAATTAATTGATGATTGCCCTTATTCATTCTTCTCCTTTGTTAGAAAAAGTATGACAATATCAACCATTTCTTTTTTTAAAAAAACAACAAATGTTCGAGGCTTAAAGCCTCTTTTATTTCCAAATCAATTTTGTACACAACCTGGCCCAATAGAGAGACCTGGCCCATTAAAGGAAATAAACAAAACAAAATAAAAGAAAAGCTAAAGAGAAAAGGAAATATCGAGAAGTGTGAAATTGTTGAGAAACAACACTTCCCTAAAAATGTCATCAGAGGAAGATAAAGAGGCGGCGGCCGCAATCGTTGTCATCTTCGACCAATTCAACTTCTCCACAACGCTTTGCTACCTCAAATAAACAAAGAATCTCACCTTGAACCATTCGTAGATTTAAGCTTCATGGGGCGATGCTGCTTCAGCTTCATCTTCCAAGCTAAGTATTTCTATCCTTACTGAACCTTCATCTTAACTGTCTTGAAATACTTAGATCTAGTCTTATAAGTTAAATTTCTTGCATAGATTATTACTCATGTATATGTTCGCTGCAATGATCGATCTTCTTGATTTCAGAAGCTTAGGATCGGGATGATACAAAAGAAACCTTAGGTAAAATTGATTTCCCATTTATAGATCTGAACTCGATGGATTAAAATCCAAAAAAAAATTAATACCACAACAAAAACTCAAATCCACAAAAAGATAACTAATTTTAATTTTTGTGAGGTTATGTTAAGATATGGTACTCCTCCGCCCGCCTATTTGAACAAACAAAAACTTTAGTTCATCAATTTGTTCAGTCCCCAAGCGAAATCTTGGCGTGACTTACTACTGAACGGAAGGCTAAACACTTATGCAGAAGCTTTAAAAGTGATAAACATTCACACCTTTGAACATGCTTTATGAAAAGTTTGAAATATAAGTATGAATTATCATAGTAATAGTTTTAAAAATAGCTGAATATCAAGACTTATCTAACTCGCTATCATGTCTTTAAAGCCTCTACTGAACTAAGATAGATGTCGGGACAAGACCCACAACTACCTGAATAATAAATTAGATTGTCTACTAAATAATGAAATCAATAACAGAATTGGAGCCCGTTGAAATCAAGGAGGTCTCACCAAAGGTTGATGGAAATGATCTCAATGAGCGTTTGTTGTCGATCCTGAGTTCATGTATCCGCATCATTAAAAGATGCAACACCGAATGACGTAAGTAAATGAAATGTGCGCTATGTAAATAGCTCAATGAAACAATGGTTAGACTGAACATACATAACTGAGGAACAACTCGGAGAAATACTGAAAATTGGATAACTATAAAGTAACAATAATATTAAATGCTAAAATAATAAACTTTACTTTTTTGGAGAGTTTCTCTAACTGACAACTATTTCTATGAGCCTCGTGATGATACAACACATCTTGTTCAAGTTGCCAGAGCCATCCTATACTTTATCAGGGTAAAGGACAAACTGAACTAATGGATCCAACATCTAGACCCTTACCAGGGGCTCGGTGCTCAATACTACTCCCAAATCTTTCAGTTCTATCTAACTATATCAATGAAAAACTCATTCTCAATCCAGAATTTAAGAAATCTGAAAGGTTTCTTATGCCTTTCCCCTCTTGCTTAAAAAGTTGAGAACATAGGACCATGATCTCAATTAGTTCTTACTAAATTTTCCACTTCCATGTGATCAAACCATCCTTGCAACCCCTGATTAGTGAGCACTCTATCATGCCTTCCAAATATGCAATCATTCTCAACTCTATCATTCTACCATGTAAATGGACTTTCTTTGAATTGTATTTTTGCTAAGTCACAGGAAGAAATACAATTTTCAAAAGTTCATAGTCAAACACCGGTAAACCTCCAATTTTCTCCTCCGAATTTAAAAGTACATTGAAATCCCCCTTCCCCCCCCCCCCCCCCCCCCCCCCCCGCCAATTAATCAGGGGTTGTCCATTCCTTCTAACAATTGATACATATCTTCCCAAAGCATTATTCTTTCTTCTGCATTGCATTTTGAATATACAAAAGTGAAAAATAATAATTGGGCATGACTGTAACAGTAAAGTAAGTTGTTATTCAGAATCTTTGATCATTGTAGAATCAAAATCTAAATTTATAATTTAAAAAAAACAGTTTTTGTCATTGCAAGTTGATATCCCTAGTGACATCTTCAATCTTCTTGTGTATTTGTTAATGTGCCTTTAATTGTGAAAAGGCTCTAGTAAATCAATAAGAGAGAATTTATGAAAATTGTGTAGCATCTGCACCCTCTGAAAACTTGTCGGGACTTCACAACTCTGATATTCCATATTAAAGCTTTCATCTCTTATAAATTGATTTACACCTCATAGGCTGAACTCTGATTGACAGATTAATATTCCATTTCCTTGCATATTCCCTCTTCTTGCACTTTTTAGAAGCCTAGGAGAGACACCTACTTTAATAGAAAGAGTATCTTGAAATTCCTCAGAAATATGTGCTTCTATCATGCTACCTTCTAAATCAATATCCTTTCTTTCTAAGAGATTGTGTGATTCAATATCATGCAATACTAGGTTAGGAGAAAAATACATGGTTCTATTAACAACTTCATCTATTTTAACTGGTTTGGGAATGACCATGATTAGGGGTGTTCATGAATCGGTTTGACTAGATTATTGGTCAAAATAAAACAAAATCAATTTAATCAGTTTTTGAATTATCAAAATCAAATCAAACCAAATATAATACACATTATCAGTTTGATTTTTATCAATTTCGGTTCGATTTGATTTAGTTATTAACAATACACAAAAAAATAAAAAAAAGATTCATTCAAAAGAGAGAAAAAAAGACAACAAATAATTCAAAACGTAAAATAGTTAGAACGACTAACATTACACAACTTTCAATCACTGAATTTTCTGTGAATAAAACTTCAAAGTTCATAATTTTGGCCTATAAGGAAGATACATTGACATTCTTAGTCCCAATTTTTTAATTTTTTTTTATCATAGACACTTATATACATGAAACCAATAGATAAATGTTCTCGTCTCGGACCTTTTTGCTTTTATAAATTAATTATAAATAAATTTTGATGAAAATATATAGTATAAGATATTTAAAATTATTTATAAAAATAATATATTATGCATGTATAATAATAAAATATGTGTGTATAGTTTATCGCTTCCGTTCAGTTATTTCTTTGATTTTTTTAACAAAATCAAATATTATAGGTTTTAAAAATCTAAAACCAAAACTCAAATAAAATCAATTTATTTAATCAATTTAGTTTAATTTTTTGGTTTGAATCGATTTTTATGAAACCTTGAACACCCCTAATGATTATGATAAACAAAAAAGGTAAATTGATCACTTGTTCAACATATGTGGAAAAATGATAAATGTGTTGGTCTAGTATAAATATCCACTATTGTTGGGTTTTGTTTGAGATTTTTATAGTTGGACTGAAATTTAAGTGTTGGACTTGAGAAATTGGAAAAGTTAAAGACTTAAGCTAATTAAAATTTAACAAAATATTCATATTTTATTTATGAATAATATATAAGTTAAAAATTATAGAATTTATATATATAATTTCTCTGTTCGATTTGGTTATTTTCGTGGTGCTTTTTTTAGGAAAATCAAAATCAAACCAAATAGTATCGATTTTCAAAATTTAAAACAAAAGCTAACCAAGTTAAATCAAATATCGATTTTTTAATCGACTTGATTCAAATTACGGTTCAATTTGATTTTTTAGGCAAAATCGTGAAAAACCTTGTTGCTAGCTGTCTAAACATATTTACAAAATCCCAATTCACAAAATTTAATAAAGAGAATATTATCTATATAGAAACACTTTGAATGTGTTGGTCTATCCA